GGCCGGGCGGGGATAGGCGAGGGGCGCGGCGGGGATTGGCTGGCGCGCGGCGGCGGTGGCGGGAGCCGGGCCACGTGCGAAGCTCCCGCGCCCCTGGCAGGGCCAGGGGGAGCCGGTCCCGCAAGGCTCAGGCTCCGGAAGGGATCCCCCCAACCCTTGCTCAGACCACCCTGCCTGGGGGCCCTGCTTCCCTCCAGCGCCTGACCCCATTTCCTTCCGCACCGCGCTTTTATCTCCCTGCTGGGAGAAGTGCGGGTCGTGACCCACAGTTTGAGTGCGGTTGGGACAGGGCCCAGCCTGCCGCTCTGGGGTGCGGCGGAGGTCGGCCTCTGCAAAAGCCGCCGCGCCCTCCTGCCTTCTCCACCCTCAGCTCGTCTCTGTGGCTGCAGGAAGCGGCTTCTCCTCTCGACCCTTGTGAAACAGCGGTGAGGTTTCTGCCTCCCCCTGCGCGGTTGTGTCACTAGATGGCCTTGCAGACCGCGTGAGAAACGCCGCCCTTGCTCAGCGCTCGCCCAGCTGCCTCGAAGACAGCCTTTTGTAGAGGGACAGGCGGTAGAGATGACAGCCACCTACCCACATCCAGCTAGAAGCTGCGGGATAAGACGCTCAAGGCGACTCAGTTCCTGCCGATCCGCTTTTATTCCTTTGAGTAAAAAGCGGCATGGACTTGACATGTATTTCTCTCTCTCAAAAATAAAATCTTATTAACCTGTGGGCTTATCCATGCCCTGAACATCTTGCTGGAGACTTTCCGCACTGAAGGAGAACGTCTCAGCACTTGGCTGATTAGACCTTTAAAGGGTCTGCGCTGGGCGCCCAGCTGAAATAATGGATAGAAGTTAAATGTGTTCAGTCACATCTACTTCTTGAATTACGGTGTTACGGGCTTTTAATTAAATCCTGCAGCAACTGTTTCCTTTTCCTTTTTTGCCAAAGTTTTATAAAACGCACCCTCTCTGAGCTTACAGTGAATCCCTCTTTTCCTTTTCACAGATCGTCAGGCCAGAAGGGACCTTGGAAGATCATCAGGTCCAGCCCCCTGCACCGAGCAGAAAAGATAACGGGGGTCAGGTGACTGTCTAGTCTCCTCTTGAAATAAGCGGGCTTATTTTGTGTGAATCGGTATTTAAGACTACCAGATTGTAGTACACGGCTGTCCACTTTTGGGGAGACCCGCCCCAGGGCTGCACGAGTGGGGGGCCACGGGCCATGTCGGCTGTCCCAGGTGAGGCATGGACCACAGCACTGCACGCTGTGCAGACACGCTATGTGTCTGCACCGGCACCCCTCCCTGGACACACCCTCAGCTCCCCAAGCTGCACCACACTACCCTGTTACCATTTCCCGTGATGCATTTAAATCCTATACACACTCCTGAATCATGGACTGATCCTGGATTATTTAAGGCAACGGGAGTATTGCCATTGACTTCAGTAGGAGCAGTTGCAGGCCCTTTATTAAAACACAACTCAAATATAATTAACAGCAACTTTAAGGACATTTATCCCATTTCTCTCTCTGGCATCTATAGCAGGTCTGGCACCAGAGCATTTGAGCTCCAGTTTTATTCATTTGCAGATTGTGAGGCAATAAGCATATCAAGACTTGCAATCACTCCAGGAAGATCAAGAACCTATCATTAGCAGTAAGTAAATGGTTTTGTCTACATTCTACTTTTGTTACAACAAACACCAGTTACCAAATTATGGTAAATTGGTGTTGCTCGACAATTCATGAATGGATATAACAAAGTTCTGTTTACTACAATGTTCGTATTGTCCATTCAGATTGGACTCCATCGATGCTAGGATCAAAGTGACACTAGATATAGATACATTTTAACATAACGATAAGAAAAGGGGGCCCTTGCAAATGAGGATTTTTGCCCTTAAGACTGGGATACATAGCTATGCTAGAGCATGCTTAGTGGAAGGAAACTATCAGGATTTGGCTGCATATTTATCAGGGGGAGGCAGGGAGAGAAAGGAGAGAAAACCCTTACCCATCTTGTCCAGAAAAATCATGCTAGTACCCTATCAGCAGAAATGTTTAGACATGATTTAGCTCTGATCCATATTTGTCCGGTACGCTGCCTCTTAAGAATTCCTGTCACCCTCCCCTTCTAGCTGCCATTTAAGAAAACGTTAAAAATATTACCTTCAGACTCTAGGTAACATATTGATGAGTAATGTCTGAGAACCTAGATATACATTTTTAATATGAAGAGATTTGACAAAAACTCTCCTTGCAAGCACCGCTTTTCTATTTGCAGCATCCTTGAAAGCTGTGGTCATGTTGAAAGATCCCAGCCATATAACGCTGGAAATTAATGAAAGACTGTGGCTTGCCATTAGATTTCTAATAGAAAAATCTCTCCCTTTAATTAACCAACAAGGTGATGCACTTGTAAATGTCTTTTGTACACAAAACTATAATAAGAAATGCCAACAGATGCCATCTGCTGTATACTCACATTATCAACTTGCACTAAAATGAGAAGACAACACTTCATTTTTCTTTCTGAAGTAAACCTTTAAACTTACTTGTACTGATCATTCTTGGGCAGTTTTCTTTTATGAGCATAGATGATTTCAGGACCCAACCCTGCAGACCGATGCACAAACTTAAAAGGAACTCTATAAAAGTCGCATTTGATTAATACGTGGGTGTGACCTACAGCGAGGCCTTTTACAGTCTCGACTTCTGTGCTTGCAGTATTTTTGTGAGTGTAATAAAAAACACCAAGTCACATTTTTCAATGCAGCGTTTATTTTAGTATTTTTACTGTGTTTAATCCTTCAGATCCTTACCTTGATTGTTTGATTCTCCTGAGTTTGCCAAGGCAATAGCAGTCCAGGGTCCTGGTAGCTACTGATTCATGTTCAGGAAAAAAAAAAAAGGCTGCTTTTTTCCTACAGTTGAAGCTGAAAATGTGAGGTCACTGTATGTGCAGTGTCAATTTAGTTAGTTTATAAAAAGGTGCATATCTACTCTTCCTTCCAACTTGCAAAAGTGGAACAATACAGTGCAAGAAAAAGAGACACCTATTCAATTAGTGAAATTATCCACATGCTTGAATTAAGGATGTGCATAAATCACTATGGGATTGGAACTTTAAATAGCTGTATTTTTGTAAAAGGATCCAATTACCTTAATGTTCATTACTTGTATCAGTAGTGCTCAAAAGCCACACTGAATTATTTGCTGGGTGTGCATGGTACAAGGTGGCCAATCTAAGTGAACAAGACAGACAAAAGGAGTGGGAAGAAGGGATATAACAAACAGGCAGTGAGCACAATGTAATGTATTATTAGCACTGTTTTGTTCATTGTACACATACACACCTAGAAATTGCCTCTGATATGAAGAATGTAACGGACAAGACAAAGGACGGTAAGAGAAATGTGGAGAGAGAGCATGCACTTTTGGTACCGTGTCCGTGCCAGGCCAGGGTGTATTCAGGAAAAAAGCTGTTTCCTCTCCGTCAGTCCACATGCCCAGCCACGGGACTACATCAGCTCTTCTCTTACAACAGGTTATCTATGGGACAAAGCACCCAAGGCGGATGTCATTTCATAGCAATCACGTGTACTGTGCTAGTTTCCACATAGAAAAAGAGCAGGTTTTTTTGTTAGATACATACCATGAAGTGCTGAAATAAAAAAACCCAATGGTGATGGGAGAAATTGTAGGTGTTACCATTCTATGAAGAGTGTGTCTCCACTTGAAAACCTGCAGGCAATAAATATAAAAAGTAAGAAGTGATGGATTTTCCTTTAAATACTTGGTTCTCTGGATTGCGATATAGACCCAGTTTAAATCTAGATCAGACCGGGATTTACTACAAGACGCATAAAGCTTTAAGGTCGGTGGGACATGGGATTGGTCCAATCAGTGTACTTCTCTGTGATGACGCATCTGTCGTGTGAAGGCCTAACTGGCCATTTTAACAGAGGACAAGGATTGAATGGGTGCAAAGACTTTCAAACTCCTCTCTCCCCCAAGGTAGTGGAACTGCAGCATGTGGAGTTTGAGACAACACCGGGCCAGGATGGGGAATTCCACTTACACTTTTTTACTACCAGTTAGATTGGTTTGTGGGTCAGTAAAGGTATTTCATTGACAAAAGCTGTCAATTCAGTACTTTCCATTAGCATTGAAATCATCTTAAACATGAAAATACGCAGGCAACTGCAGTTTCCATTATGTTTCAAACAGTTCCAAGTTTGATTGGTCAGATCACACATTTTTCCTATTGTATGGACAAATCGTCCAAGGTCTGTCACAGGTCTGGCAGGATCTGTCTGAATTCAGAGCGTAATATATACTCAAGCAGAGTGGAATGAGCTAAAAAAAAAATCAGAGATTCCAATCAGCCAGCAGGAAACTGTTGTTTCAGTCACTGATTCTGGTCTCGTTTTGCATGTGTGCTTCTCTGGCATTGTCCTAAAGACACCCCCCCCCCTTACACTAAGGCCTCCTACTTTCTGCTGAGTGGGACAGCACATTATAGCTGTATACCTTTAATTCATTCTTGAGTAAATCTAGCTTAATTCACCTATTTATTCAGACCCTTAATTTTTACTTTCATACATTAGAAAATTGTGAATGACTCCCTTCTTATTTACTAATGTTGGATTTTTAAATTTTTTTACTCAGGATTTATGTCAAGTTGTGTGTGGATGGAAATCAGAATTAAATAAAAATAGACCTAAATACAACTAATTTTAAAATGTGGTTTATCTAATATAAACAAACCTAAAATAAGATACATAATGAAGAAAGCAAGTTAATTAAATATCTTCTGCATGTAAAATTAGCTGATTGAGTAAACAAACTGTAGCGAATAAGCAGACAGATGTTTCTGGTCACCATGGACTAGATCTTCAAAGGTATTTTGAAAATTCAGATAGGCGCCATGTGGGATTTTCATACATGCCTCCCCTTCAGCACCGAGCATCTTCTGGCCTCTGTACAGTCTTTGTAAACAGACGGGATTGCGTCAAAGATGCCGGACCCAAACACGCGTTTCCCCAGAAAACCTGCCTGGTCCCAACTTCAACAATCCCTTATGTAAAAGCATGTAACATTTATTCAGTGTAGTATGTGACCATATGACCCATCTATAAAAGATCAACTTAGAAAGCATCTTTAAACATTTAGGCTACCTAAATCTTTACTAATTAAAAAAAAGTAGCACCCCTTAAGCCATTAAAAAAGACTCACTGCAGCATATTTTAATTTGTAGTGTGTTTAGGCTTTGGTATCGATTATTTTAAAATTTAAGGTGTCAGTCATTTTTTTTTTTAAACAAATACATTTAAATAAGGTATCTGATTTGAACAACATATAAATAACATTCAGATATGTGGGATAGATCATTTTGGCCAACATTAATACAAAAGCCATGTGCACTAAGCTAGGACTTGCATATACGATTCTGAAAGCGCCCGACATCCACTCATAGATGTTGCGTGTGTCAAGCTACAAGTGGGGCGGAGGGGGGGTGGAAATGTTCAATCTGAAATATGGTTTATAGAAAATAAATGTTAGATACTAAAAAGTCTCTCACATTCAGGAATATTTATAAAATTATATCACTAAAATGTTTTAAACTACATATGTCCTTTTAGAGAGACAGATTCAACATCATTATGTTTAGTACATACAAAAAATAGCTTTAACACACGCACAGTATATTAAATATGTTATATTGTATATAACATTCAATGCACAACAAAATATATAACTTTGTGTATGATGCAATTGTTAGCATGATTCATGTTCAGTAAATGATAGCACATTATTTTGACTTTTTTTTTTTTGGACCCCAGGGGTTAGTTAATTTTCAAAGGCCTGCAAATTTTTCTTAACGAGGGATAGAAATTGATACTGAAGCCAGGTATTTTTGAGGCATTCCTACTTATTTACAAAGAACACAAAGTCCAGTTTCCACTAACACAACAGGCCTCTGGAAAAGTAGACAGTTTCTTTTCTCGCAGCCTTTTTCAGTTAGGTCTCAGCCCCCACAAAAAATCTCTCTAGGCTTTTTCTCAGGGCCACAATCTTGCACTCATTCTGCTTTCTCCTTGGCTGTCAACTGCTTTGATCGGGTTTCTTCCTTCTGTCTCGCACAAGTGTGCCTCCACCAAATTATGCTCTAAACCTTGTATCTGTTCCCCCAAACAGGCAAAAGCATTTCTCCTCCAGGCATGCTACGCACCCGTCTTCTGGGTGGTGTGTTCATTTTCCAGCTAGCTGGTTTCAGAAGGGACTTGTTCTGCTTTAGACACTTGCCCTGAAGGAAAGGCAGCTAGGGCACTGATCAGTCCCCTGAAGTTCACCCAAAGTCTAAGTGTTTAAGTAGCACTTGGCCAAGTAGGAACTAGCTTGTGCAATTCTTTTCAGTTGATAGACCTGCCAGAACTGTGTTTATTTTCTAGCCCATAAAATAATGTGGAAAAAATAAATTTCAGTGAGATAATATCCTATCTGCCTTTTCACGTCTCGGGAATGAGAGTTCCCGTTCCACTTGGCTCCAAGTGCTTCACACGCTAAACCAGTGCAAAGACATTAGGTGAATTTGGTGTAGAGTGATTCAAGTGCTATCATACAGATCAGAGGGCACCAAGGGTTAAAAAAAAAAAAAAAAAAAAAAAAAAAAG